GCTTTGGTGGGTAGTAGTCATAAAACGAGAGTGAATTTAATGTGTAAATTAGTCATAACAGCCATCTCTCCTTCAATGAATCTTTTATATATCTAAATAAAATAAATTCAAGTACTAATGTAAAAGTGCATGACTCTTCCCACTGAGCTGATTTTACTCTATACCACAGGACCCAGGGCTAGAGTCAAATCCAAGAGACATCTAGCAAACTATCAAAACCATGTGGGAAGATGACTACATCTTGAATAGAAAAACAAGTGTCAAGGCTGACACCTATGGTGATGGCTAGATTTAGGGGTGAAGACAAAAAAGAGTCACAAAGAAGTAAGACAAGTGGTAAAGGGAGATAGCAAAGAATCATAACAGTAGAATGTCATGGAAGGCAAGAGAGAAAAGTTTTAAGGAAGAGGCAATTAATAGCATATAATAATGCTATCAAAGAAAAATCACAATAAATAGAAAATAGAAACTAATATGGTAGAAGTAAGTCTAACATACCACTATGTAAAATAAATGTAATTGGACAAAACTCAACTTATTAATGGAACAGAGATTCTCAGATTGAATTTAACACAAATTACTCATATGCTGCATAAACACATTTAAACCCTAACGTTTAAACCTAAAGACACCAAAAGGCTGAAAGTAAAAGGAATACACACACACACACACACACACACACACACAAATGTGTATACATAGAGTTCACACTTGAACAACATGGGTTTGAACTGCCTGCGTCCACTTATGTGCAGATTTTTTCAATAAATATATTGGAAAATTTTTCGGAAATCTGGAACAATTTGAAAAAACTCACAAACTGTATAGCCTATAAATATCAAAAAATCAAGAGAAAGGTATAACATGAATGCATAAAACATACGTAGATACGAGTGTATTTTATCATTTGCTACCATAAAAATATATAAATCTATCATTAAAAATTAAAATTTATCAAAACTTACACGTACAAGCACATAGTATACATGGAACCATGCCTTCCATGACATTCTACTGTTATGATTCTTTGCTATCTCCCTTTACCACTTGTCTTACTTCATGCAGTCAAGAGAAATGTTAACAAACATAAAGATGCAGTATTAAATCGTAACTGCATAAAATTAACTACAGTATATACTATACTATTGTAATAATTTCCTAGCCACCTCCTGATGCTATTGTGGTGAGCTCAACCGTTGTGAGCATCCACTTAAAATGCCATGTGACATTAATCATCTCTGCTTAAACAATTCATCTCTCCAGTAAATTGCAAATCACAATAAAAAGTGATCTCTCGTGGTCCTCACATATTTTTCATTGTGTTTAGTGCAATATTGTAAACCTTGAATAACATCATAAGACCCACACGAAGTGCCACTAGTGTTGCTGGAAGTGCTCCCAAGAAGCAGAGAAAAGTCACAACATTACAATAAAAAGTTGAATTGCTTGATATGTACTGTAGATTGAGGTGTGCAGCTATGGTTGCCCTCCATTTCAGACAGAAGATTGATCTTGTAAACAGATGACATAAACTTATGTCATCATAAATACAGCACTGTACTATAAATGTATTTTCTCTTCTTTATGATTTTCTTAATATTTTCAATTATTATTTTAGACATTTTTATGATTTCTCTTTTTCCTCTAGCTTACTTTAAGAATACAGTATACAATATACAACATACAAAATATGTGTTAGTCTACTATTTATGTTATTGGTAAGGCTTGCAGTCAACAATAGACTATCGGTATTTAAGTTTTGGGGGAGTCAAAAGTTATATTCAGACTTTAAATTGTGCAGGGGTTGGCACCCCTAACCCTTGTGTTAAGGTTCAACCATATGAACACACACACACACACACACACATACACACACACACACACTAGTTAAATCCTAATTTAATCTAAATAAGGAAAAGAACTACTAGAAAAATAGATTTTAAGACAAAAAGTAGTGATAAAAAGGATCATTTTTTTAATGACACAGGATCACTTCACTAGTAAGATAAAATAATTCTAAACCTGAAAGCATGTAACAAGATTTTCTACACATTTACAAAACATAACTTGGCATAATTACAAAGAGAAATTGGCAAATCCTTACTTAACAGAGAATGAATTATTGTGACAACTCAAGAACTAAGAGACCATGTAGATTAAAAAAAAAATCTAAGGATGTAAAAATATGAGTGACATAATTAAAATTTATCTATTGTACATTTATAGACCCTGATTCCAACATTTCAAGAATTATATTCTTTCCAAAAACCGAACATATATTAGCCCACAAAGCAAGTCTCCACAAATACCAAAGAATTAAAATCATACAGAACAAGAATAAGATGCTTTTTAAAAGTAGCATTCAGTGAACACAAAAGGAATTCTTAGAATTGAAGTATGGCAGAAGAAAAAAACTCAGTAGAATGTGTGGAAGATAAAATTGAAAAAAACCTCTCAGCAAGTAGAACAAAAAGACAAAGAAGTAGAAAGTAGCAGAGAACAGCTAAGAATATTAGAGCCTCAGTCTAGTAGTTCTAACATGCCTAAAATAGGAATTCCAAAAAGAGAACAGAGGTTTAAAAAAAAAAGACCAAGTCAGACTGAAGCCCTGTGACTCAAGAGATAGACATGACAAGTTCTGTCAAAGCCAGGATGCCTGCTGACAACATGCTGTGCTTCTAACCTGAATGCAGAATCCCAGGGGAATCCGGTTCAGATGCTTATTTGTGCTTCACTTGTCATGACCTTGGGATGAAGCAGTTGCTGCTCTCTGCTCCGTGCCCAGCTACAGAAGCCCATTCCCCTAACCGTCTTCCTGCTGGACATCTCATGTCTGGTCCACACTAGGACCTCACCAGATTCCCTGACTCTGGTGAGCCCCATGTTTCCCAGGACCTACTTGTTACCTGGCCTTTCTGACTTCCCCAGAAAGGACTCTTAAAACTGTCAATAAACCAGACCCAGACTCTGACCCAAAGATTCCTTACACCTTATTTTTTTTCCTGGAATTATTGTCTTTTCATTACAATACTAGGTTTGAGTTCATTTCTGAAGTTTTATGCATATAAGTGACAGAATTCTCAAGAAAAGCAGGGAGACAACATAGAAATCGGCATGGTGGTTGCTCTGGGAAGGAGTAGGGGATGTGATGGGGTAGGAAATAGGGGGCTCTGCAAAATATGATAGTAGAGTTCTACTTTGTGAAGAAGTCGTGTGGTCATGGGTGCTTACTAGATTATTGTTGTTTAACTTATATTATACATATAGATTTTAGGCATTCTTATAGTTTAGGAGACATTTAAACTTTTTTTAAAGAGCGCGACCAAATAGAGTGTACACCAGTAATACATTTTACCATTAGAAATTCAAATCATACCACCCAAGTGTTTGAGGATAATGAGGAAGTCACTGTTTTTACTAAGTGGGAGCCACACCCTCCGAAAGCATGTAGTTTGGCCTGGTGGAAACCAATGCCAACATGCAAGGAATTCAAAAGTAAGTTAGTGGATGTGGTAGATTCTGTTGCTCTGAATATTCACTGGGCCTCTCTGTGAGAAACTGATACTTCCTACTTCCTTGAGATCAGTCTTGGTCACAGATTAGCTTTGCCAAATGGAATCCAAGTGTCAGTGACATGTTCCACTCCTGAGCCAAACCTTAAAAGCATTCCATGGTCCTGCTGTCTATGAGGTAACAAACCCCTAGACTCCTGCGCCGCTCTGAGCTGCTCCTGCAGTCTGGGTCCCAGAATTGCCACTGAACAACAGACAATAATGTGAGCAAGAAGTAAACTTTGTTGCAAACTAAGTTGCCTGGGGTTATTTGTTAGACTAAGCTCCAGCAAACTATTCTTCAAAGAACTTTTGCAGTGAAGAAAAGGAGAAAACAGAAGTCTAAGGTTACAACATGTAAGGAAAGGATTGGGTTACCCTATCTAAGTACTGCATGTGTTGAGAGGCAGAGATGAGTATTAGAGGAAGGCTGGAAGTCCAAATTGGAGAGGAGAATGACAGACAGTGCAAAGTATCACAGGCAGAGGAAGACTATATAATCAAAGACACAGGGGTAAGGTTGGACCTCAGGGAAGAGGGAAAGAACTCTCTGTAAAAGACAGCAATGAAGGGAGTGAATTCGGTAAAAACAGAGTTGAAAGGAGGAAATTCAAGCAAGCAGGAGGAAGATGGTCCCAATCTTTTGAGAGGGTTAGAAGTGATGGCAGCTGCTGGGGGTGAGATGGGAACACAGGGTGTATAAGACCCCTGAGAGTCAGGCTGGATTTGAAGAACCAGCTTACAGAGTCTAAGTGCATGTTGATACTTAACTCCCTGATGTTCCATCAGTGAAATGTTGATCCAGCTATTTGCTAGTAATCACAAAAGTTACATATAATTACTATTTTTTGTATATTTACATAATCAAAACAAAGAGATCTTTTGACTTCTTACTAGCCTGTATCTGTATAAAGTCCAACTGGCCTTAGTAGTATTTTGTTAGTATTTTGAGGAAATGAGTAAACAAACTACAATATTTTCAAAGAACACTGAAAGAAAAATTTTTCTAGGTATTACACAGCAATTTGCCATAAATCATTAAAAATAAACTTTAATAAGGTATATTATGTTTTTCAGATATGTTTAAGTTTCTAAATTTTTACAAATTAAATGTTAAGATACTTCCGATAACATATGATTGTGTGGGTAAATTAAAGGAAGTAAGTAATTTGGAAATGGATGTAGTTCAAATTAAATTTGACCATAAGATTTACTGACTCTTTTATTATCAACTGTGCTATTAATAAATTTGTTACTCAACTGAGCTACTCGAATCTTTGGTTTCAGATTCACTCAAGCTTATGATTACACTTATAAAATTACTATATTTCTTTATGCAAGGCATTTTACATGTGATTTCCCTAAGTTCTTTTAGTGCAAATCTAGAAATCTAATAATGCAATGTAATCTATGCTAAATTAATAAAAGAAAAGTTTATTCCATAATTACCCTGGTAAAGAGAGGTTCTAAGCCATTTGGAGCAGTGGTTGGACGAAATGTTCTCCTTCTCCATGTTTCAGATCTATTTTCTCTTGTGATTTTTCCATTTGGGGGAGGAAGTGGAGGAGGAATAGGCATCATGCAACTGTTAATGTCTGGAAGTCGATATGGATTCATTCTCTGTGAATTGCCTGTGGAGTTCCTGAACTTCATCACTGCCTTCTTGCCCTGCAATCACATTTCATGACATAAGAACCAAAGAAACAAAACCAGTGACCCAATGTCACCCAAAATTAAAGACTAGCCTGTATGATTGACATTGCATGCAAACACAACTGGTATCAATAGACAAACTCAAAACACTTCAATCTGTTGAAAGTTGGCACTTCGTTGTATCCATAGCAAATTAAATATTCATAAATTTCTCACCTTATGTAGTATATTTTTTAAACAAACATACAGTGATGGCACTTTTATAGTACTTTGGGGGATTTTTCCTCAACAACTGATTAAATCTATGGGGACCCAGTACAATTAAACAATTTAAAATCAAGAAGTTTGAAGTGTTATACTTTAAAGCAGGGCTGAATAGTCCACTTAGCAATGAGGAGTTAGTACTTTTTTCATATTCTGATTTCACCCATCCAAGTCTTAGAATAGCTACGGTTGGCAAGGCTGTGAACAAACTGGTAATCTCATGTATTAATTATAGTAAATTATTACAACCTTTATGGAGGATAAATTGGAATATTTATCAAAATGTCAAGATGTATACTCTTTGACTTAGAAATTCTACTACTAGGAACAAATTCTACACAGATAACTACACAAGTTCACTAATATAAATGTGTATAAGGATAACATGCACTAATACATTTAGTGAAAATATCAAAATAATGTATCATCCTAAAAGTCCATAAATAGGAGGATATTTAAATTTTTCTTTGTTCATATAATAGAGTCTCACTAAGTTTATAAAGAATGATGTGAATCTATTTATCCTGATATTAAAAGTCCATGAGACATGATCATACATTCCTTTTAAATAATTTACATGTGGATTTTGATTAAAAAACAAAAATGAAAGAATTTAAATGTGAGGTTGCCTTTAGAGGCATATATTCACATTGTTTGAAAGTTTAATCAACATGTATTACCTTAATTATTAAAAACACCAGGGGATTGGGGATAGGAAAAAAATAACATCAAAGGTATAATCAATAATTATATTACATTTGTTAAGTATGTTTGAGTCCCTGAATTTTCACAAATTGGTAATTTTTGTGTATCTGAGGTAGTTTTCCAAACTTTAAGAATTATCTAAACATTTATATCTGTTTTATGTCAATTTATTTGTCTTTATATTTATTTATATTTATGTAATATTAATATGAATTGTATATGTTATACATATTTTTAATTCTTTAATTTTCAACAAATTAAGTCCTTATTTTGAGATGCTTATTAGTGAAAAGTTATTTTCAAGAAAGAGAAGTTATTCTCCAGCTATTTTTCATTGCTAAATGAGTAAAAAACAAATTAAATAAAGGCAATGTGTAGCTCAAATTTTGATTGAAAACATTTATGTAATTTTATATTAAATCATTTTCATCATCAATGCCACTGAAAAAAAATAGATGTAAAGACATATAGTCATAATATATTTTGCCTATGTAAATTACACTATATGCTCCAATAAGTTACTTTTGTCTGTCTTGATGCCCAGAGCAGTATCTAGCCCCTAGTAAGTGTCTAATAAATATTTATTGAATGAAAAGTGGTTTTATCTAGTTGAAATTAACATGGAATTAATCTCAATCTCAGCACATGCGAGCTACCATCAAGTGCCTATCCTTCAATAATCCATACCCCAAAAACTTGGAAACAGAAAAAGAAAAGGCCCTGTCTAGATTCAGTTGGTAAATCCATCCAGTGGCTCAGAGACGATTTGGAAAATCAACTGAAAAGAAAAAAATGCTTCCCAGCCAGCAGAACTTGAATATTACCTGATTGATAGTGTTCACATATCTAACAGGAAAATGTATCCATCAAAGTGTAATTAATAATTATAAGAACTTAGAAAGGAATATAATCACCTTGGCAAATGTGGAAAGTACCCACGCGAGTACTATCTAGGGGAAAGGAAATTCTACCCATTGGACTTTGAATATTTCCAGTCCTAATGGCAAAGGTATCCCTGGAGGATACAGAGGGTTTTAGCCAAAGATCTTTGAGATTTCTGGTACCTTTGCAAGCCCATTCCTAATGGGTGTATCAGGCCATCTTAGCCTGATGTCATCAACATTCCATTACACTATTTCCCCTCATTCTATTCCATGCTCACTAGGCAACATTCTCATTGTGATCTGGCTTCTCATGTAGGTCTACCTATGAGGGGAGAATGCTTCTTTCTTATATAAGCTTTGCTTATTTGATAGCTCTTGGTGAATTAATGGCCTCTTATTATGATTTAGTTCTCTGTTTGGGTTTATTATAGAGGGGAAAATGACCTTGTTGTGAGTTATTTAAGTCAGCCTGAGACAACCACTCAAGACATGTCCATTCCTGGACACTGGCTGAAACAGGAAATCTCTGGGCCTTCAAAGTGAAGACCAGATCCTAGAAAGTGTCAAACTAATTGACATATGACCCAACAAGTTCCTGTCTAGCTCTAGGCAGTCCACCCTAGACAAAGTACCACCACTTTTGGATTAATTTCTCCTGTTTTCTGGGAAACTGCCATTAAATTAACTGATATAAGGCTTATGAAAAGTGCTTCACAAACTGAAAAGCACATTAAGTGGATTAAAATATTAGTTATTATTTTTAGAGTTATATTTATACTTTTACTATGAAACACAATCATTTATTTGTCTGAATTAATTTCTCAGCATCAAGGTTATCTGTAAGTTAAAGATTAAAAATATCTTAATTTCACATGTCTTGTGTTTCCTAATAAGAAATGGAACATAATTCACTCCCTTTGAACATAATGACAATTGTATTCATGATGCACGTTCTTTCTTAAGCTGGCAAATGTTTTGTCTTCATGTTAGAAATACAAACAATACTCTCCTTATTATTGAATGTCCCAATTCTTCCTCCCTGTCTCAGTAACTCATATTTCATGGTTACCATATCTCCTTCCTGAGCTTTATTAAAATAAGTGAAAATTACCTGAGACATAACCTTGAAAGGGAAGCAGAGTCAACCTCCTATGTGTGATTAATTCAGCATTTTTTAAAGATGGACATTCTTTTTCTTCTATATTCATCCTTCTAAAAGTCAAACTTGAAGTAATTTCATACACTGATGAGAAAGTAAGTCGGCATGCAAATGCAAACCTATTCTTGGAAAGTTTCATTTCCTAGGTTTCACGCATTTAAAATTTGGAAGGAGTCAATACTGGGTCTTTTCTGATAGAAGTCATATCTGGCAAAGAAAAGTCTTTGTTTTTCAATCAGCCTTTCAAATTTATGAGAAATCACCATATATTATCACAAATCTATTTATTTCTTACCTTTTTTGCTCAATGACAGAGAAACTTATAGACCTTCCAGTTCGAGTAAGATATAGTTAATAAAAAGTACATAGTAAGTGCTTCATAAATGCACAATATAAATTTCACTGTGCAGATTAATTGAATATATCACCTTAAAAACTGATACCCTAATATTCTAATGAAAACTTAAAACATAATTATTGAAGAAAATAGCATTTACCCCAATAGGAAATGGAGCTTCACTTTCCAGCAATGAGGATTTTGATCTGGACCCCGAAGTTATCTTTGGAACAGTCCCCACTGCAGGATTACTGGGAAGAGGCTGTAATCGAATTGGAGGCTGCATATTTCCTGGGGCAGTATATGGTCGAGGGGCTGTCTAGACAATTAGGGAAAAAAATTCCATTTAAATTAGTATCTTGACATGTTTCCAGACCAGTTAATAACCCAATAAATTGCCTACAGTAATTAATGGTACCTTTTTACTGAACAGATTAAACTTTAATTATGTCTTTCCATTATACATACCCTTTGACCCAAAGTATTTGTTAAAACATATGGTGTTGGAGTCCTCTACATAACTAAATGCCACAATTACAGAGTATACTGGACAAAGGAGATGTCCTCTATGATGTTTCTGTATTTTTATTCATACTGTAAACTCACAGACAATACTTACTTTATGCTGTACATAGAATGGCTTTGCTCAATTAAAGGTTAAGTTGAATAATGTTCCTATTTTCAGGGTCTAAAGCGATATTATTGGAATGGACTCATTTGTTTAAATGTTTTGAACATAAACTCTACTCTGAATGCTTTAAGGCTTAAGATTGGTCTGAAGTAAAAGCAGACAACCTAATATTTAATACAAACAAAAGAGGAAAGGTAGATGCTTAACCATAACACATTACCATTTATTCAACTGCTTCCTTGAAATATTAACAACACAAAGATAAAAAATTGTAACTGGCAACTTTGGAAAATACTACATAAAAATGGATATATTTTCCGTGCTGAGTATTTTCTATTTGCCCCTCAAGATCTACTGTTCACCTTCTCTTCCCTGCTCTGGGTCCTGGGAGTTATTCCTTTCAAGCCTATGCCAACTAACCTTAGGATTATGATTGGAGATCACCAGTGAAAGGCACTTGCCAAAGATGAAAGGACAGGAGGAGAATGAAATTGGAGTCTTTATTGTCCTTCAGGGTTGCAATGGGCCAACTGGGTCCCTCTACCAAAGTCAAGTCCACAGCTCCTGTTGGGAAGCCCTCCCCTAGCTACAGGTACTGGCTGCCAGTTCTGGTAACCAATCCCTCTCTTTCCCACTTAAGCCTAGGCTGTGGCTTCCAGAGGTGCTGACCCTAGCATGTTTAACTTCCCTAGTTGGTTTTCCTTAACCCTGCTTGCATCTTTGTAAATAGTTTCTTTATTAAACACTTCCTAATTACCCTATTTGTGTGAGCCATCTGTTTCCCGCTGAGCCCCTGACTGATGCATTTTCCATCAGTCACAGGCTGTAGTACAGCATATACCAAAAGTGCCAGTATGGAGCATTAGAAGTGATTTTGGGGGCACTGACAGAACATTGTGTAAGCTTAGTATATAGATTAGCAATGTGCTGAAAGTAGAAAAAAATGGGGCTTTTGGCCCAGTTATTCTATTACAATAAGATGATAGAAAACCTGTCAAGAAGAGTATACACATATTTGGGTAAGAGGGTGTCAGGTGTGGTTTCTGAGAGGTGCCGTCCTGGTTCTTTGGTTCCTTGCTTGGAGGAATCACAAGCAGGGCTGGTGCGATGGAGTAATGACAGACACGAAGCACTTCCATTCAGGCAGCTTTTATTGCAAAGCAAAAGTTAGTTTCAGAGAGAGAAACAGGTCTGTCCCCATGAGTGGAGATGAACCTGAGTTTAAAGGCAGAGTATAGAAAGTATAGAGTACACTCTCAAGGTCAGTAGAGAGCAGGCTGCTCCAATAAGGAACAGCATCATCCCAGGTTAGGGTCTGTCCTTTATGCTAATCCCTAATAATATGTTAAGCTGGGGTTGGAGTATTTGTGTCTTTTCGGGGAAGTAGGTGGAGATTCCCAGAATCATGTACCCTGCCATTCTCTGTCCTTGTATGGCTGGCTTCAGAACTGTCATGGCTCTAGGAGGTGTGAGTTTTACTATGTTAATGAGGGAAAGCTTACCTTTGGCCCTACGCTCCTAGCTTCTATGCATGCTCCTAGTCAGGAAAAGTCCCTAACGTCAAGTCCTTGCTGTTGTGGTTTCTTTTCTCTGTTTTTATTGGTCCCCACCCTCAGCCCTTGACCATATCCCCCTATCACCTGCCCTGCCACCCTGCTCTCATTGTAAAAAGGAAGGGCGCTGGGAGAGCAAATGCCCTCTTCCTAAAATGGGAGATTGCACTAGCATTCTGAAACTGGCAGAGCCCCTCTATGCCGGCATCCTCCACAACCATGGACCCTCTAGGACTACCTCAGTCTGATGGACAGAGCCCAGCTTCAGAACAAGCTCAACTCCATCACACCAGAATAGATGAGCCTTGGGTAACTCTCTCTGTCATAGGTAAGCAAATTGATTTAGATTAACATCAGAGCCACTCATTCTGCTCTTCCTGAATTGTCAGGACCTCTGTTTCCCTCTTTCTTCTATCTCCATCATCAGAGTGAAAGGTAAAATACAATCCCCCTGTGTACTCTACCACTTTTCTGCTCACTGGGAGATCCCTGGAATCATGTACCCTTCCATTTTCTGTCCTTGTATGGCTGACTCCAGAACTATCATGGCACTAGGTGGTGTGAGTTTTATTATGTTAATAATGGAAAGGTTACCTTTGGTCATAAGCTCCTAGCTTCTGCACATGCTCCCAGTCGGGAAAAGTCCCCAACCTCAAGTCCTTGCTGTTGTGGTTTCTTTTCTCTGTTTTTATTGGTCCCCACCCTCAGCCCTTGACCATATCCCCCGTTGCCTGCCCTGCCACCTACATGTCTAACCACCTGCCCTGCCACTCATCCCTACCCAACAAGGTTGTGAGAAGGATGGTACATAAATGACTCATGAATGAGGCTTAATACATTGACTCTAAAGAATGGTGAAAACAAATACTCAGCTCTGGAAAGTGTGTGTAAATACATAAAAAATGATAATAAGGCAGCTCCTAGTACCAAAAATTAGTCTTAATGCCATCTTGAGAAGCATATCATATGTTGCTAAATCTCTGATTTTGTTTTGTCATCATGGTCCCATGAGGAGATAGAAAGTAATTTTTAACATCTAATGGCAACACAAAACAATTAGTATCGAATGAACCACACAAATACTGCCAAACAGAAAATAACAACAAAATATCTGAGAACAGAACTTAAAACTCAAAGTTTTTAGAATCTTTACAGTAAGTCAATGAGGCTAATAAAAATTAAAGTTTCACAGAAGCAGTTAGATTTTATCCAAATGGTAAACAAGAGAAGAAAATGGATAAACAGAGAAGAATGGTAAATTTGAACATCCGAGTAATAAGAGAGCTTCTTATAAGCACAACATGGCAAAAGCAGCAAAGATAATATTCCTGAATATCTGTTTTCTTTTCTTCACTAGTAATAGAATTTTTATTTGGGAACACGGCTATCATAAATAAAGTTATATTTCCTAGTAGCCCTCGTAACCCTGTATAGATGAATGCCTCACGTTTGGCCAACATAAGACGTGAGCAGAAGTGATACATGAAGCATCCAGATCATGCCCTTAGAGAGAAGTGTGCCCTCACCTTCCCTTTTACCCCTTTCCTCTGGCTAAAATATCCACATGGTGATACACCATCTTGGCTTATGTGGATGAAGGCAATACCCTAAGTTTGGAAGATCAATAACACAAAAGGTGTCTGGGCTTTTAATGACTTCACAGAGTGGAGATGACATACCAGCTGAGATTCGCATATGTGTGCTGGGACAGGGAGGTGGCCCTAATGTTTAAGCCCTTGTCATTTGGGGTCTCTGTACACAAACCTGTATCACAACCAGGATAAGAAGCCAAGTAGATTGACTAGAGCAGCATTTGATTTAAAGAAAGAGGAGATAAGCCTATGCAGATCAAAAGGCAAAAGGTCTTAAAACCCACAAAGAGAAATTAAACTAGAGGTTTCTGATCAAGGGAATCAGATCACCCAAAAGAATTCTTTCGAACTCTGTTAAACAAACATGCCTTATGACTCTCTGTCAAATAACTGGACTGAAGACAAAAATATGAAGAAACTAATGTCGAAGTTTAAGAAAGCAGGTTACTGCAAACTAGAACATGATCTATTGGCTGCTGTGCTCTAAATTTTACTTCTCCAAATTTGCATACAGATATCATTCGGTTAGATGAATGTGGCAGTCAAATGTTTAACTGATTACGTTTATCTCTAAAAACAAATCTGCACCATTAACTAACAGCTGTGAGCTACAAACTGTTGTAGTTCACATCAGAAGCCACCTTATATTTGCTATATTTTAAATTGTTTGTAATATATTTTCTTGGAATAAATATGGCACTGTAGCTTAACATTCTCAAAACTGCACCGGAATATGAATTGAAATTGACTACCTGGTGATTACTCAGCTTAGCTGAGCATTTCTAATTCTTAGCAGAAGATCTCTGGGGGTGAATTTTCCAAGCATATGCAGAATGAGTCGAAATGACTTTCCACAGTTTTAATGGGAGCAGTGCAGCTAAAAGCCTGTGTGCTATTTTGAAAGTTTAGGTGCAATTAGCGACCAAGTGCACTAACATTGCACTGCATGCTTTTTTTATTCACTCAAGAAAGTTAAAAAAGAAAAAGTGAATGGCAACACCCTGAAAGGATTACTAGCTTCATCTCGGTAGCACTTGGAGGTCAGGAGTCAAATTTAAAGGATATGCATCCAGGTTGGCACAACAAAAACGGGAACTTGAATTTCTGCAAAATGGGAACTACAATTCCAAGACCACAGTAGGTATCCCTTAAGGTGCAAAAGCACCATCAGGGGTGACCAAGTGAAGAATCCTGGATTACCAGAGAGAAAGACTTTTTAAGTGCTGGTGTCAGTGTTTCCTGTAATTTTTAAATTACTTTCTCACTCCTGTCACATTAAGTTCTCCTGACTGTATCATAAACTATTTATTGAGGGTGTTCAGCTGGAAAATTGAAAAGAAAGCCTTTCAAGAGTTTTTCCTCTCTGAAACAGGTGGGAAGACAGAAAATGGCACCTGATTGTTTCTTTTGTTTCACCCAGGTTAAGCTTTTGGGAATCTAGTGAATTTGCCATCCAATAAAAGAATTTGTATACCTATACACTCAAATCAAACCTGGAAATAAAGTAACAACAAATGGAAGACAGTTGCTTTTCATCACTTGG